CCATTTTGGTCCCTGAACTATTGTACGGACCCCCGATTTGGTCCCTAAACTAAAAAAATCCCTGATTTGATCCCTACTGTCTATCATTTTAACCCCGATTTGGTCCTTTCGTTAAATATCCGCTTACGTGTCTTGTTACTTGACGGGGAAAAGGATGACATGCCAAATATTAATACACGTGGAAGACAATAAGACCAAAAAAAGTGATGACATGGAAAAAATAATAATATAAAAAAATATTATGAAAAATAAAACTTAAATTTTTTTTTCTTTTTCCTTCTATTTCCTTTTCTCTTTTCCCTTCCCCTTCCCCTTCTCTTTCCCCTTCGAACCCAGGCGTGGCCTGGGTTCTGTCGAACTCAGGCATGCTGGGTTCCACTGAACCCAGCGCCTAGGTTCGATGCCCAGCATGCTTGGGTTCCACCAAACCCAACATGCCTGGGTTCGATGAAACCCAGGCGCTAGGTTCGATGAAACCCAGGTGCTGGGTTCCTTAAGACCCAGCCCTGGGTTCAAAAAAAAAAAAGAAATTTCTGTTTTCTTTGTTTGGGTTTTGTTGTTTGATGATATGAGAAATTGATTGATGAAGATGAAGAAGGCAAGGCAGCCGTTGGGTTTTTGCAGGTGGATGAAGATGAGGAAGGCATTGATGCTGGGTTCGATTTCGAATCCAACAGGCACTGGGTTCCGTTTCGAACCCAGCAATCGTTGGGTCAATGGATCTTTTGAGTTCCATTTGTTTATTGATCTGTTGTCTGTTGGGTTTTGTTTCAAACTCAGCAGTTGTTGGGTCAATGGATCTTTTGAGTTCGATTTATTTATGGATTTGTTATCTGTTGTGTTATCCTCATATTCTTGCAGGTGCTGGATTCGATTTCAAATCTAGCGAGCGTTGGGTTTTGTTTCCAACCCAATTGCAGTTGGATCGAAGAATCTACTGATTTTTATAATTCTATCTGTTGGTTTGTTGTGTTATTCTCGGATTTAATATTAGGAAATGTTAGGGTTTGCAGAAGGTGAAAGGAAAGGAAAAGGAGGGAAAAAGAAAGGGAAAAAAGAAAAACAAAGAAAGAAAAAAAAAGAAATTTTTTAAGGCAATTTCTTGCCATCTCATTTTTTTACCACATTGTACATCCTAGGCGTCAAAATGTTTTAACATGTCATCCTTTTCTCCGTCAAGTAACAAGACATGTAGGCGGATATTTAGCGATAGGACCAAATCGGGGTTAAAATGGTAAACAGTAGGGACCAAATCAGGGATTTTTTTAGTTTAGGGATTAAATCGAGGGTCCGTATAATAGTTCAGGAACCAAAATGGCTTTTTAACCTTAAATTTTAATTTTTTATTATTATTTTAAATTATGTTTAAGATTAGATTGTAATAAATAATATTTTATCAACATTTTATTAGTTTTATTTAAGTTTAGATTAAAAGTAAACAATATTTTATCAAATTTAAATTTGAAAAAATTTAAAATAAAATATCATTTAATAAGTATATAAATATATATGTAAATTACTTGATATCTATTGAATTAAACATCAAATATAAATTTTTAAGTATATGAGTAAATTTCAAATTCAAAAAGTTAGATTTAAAATTTTTTAAATAAAATATATTTTATATTTTATACCCAATTTGTACTTAAAATACACACCCGAGAAAGTAGAGACAAACACTTTGACTTGCCAATCTTATCGCACTAACGAAAACCCTGGTGACTTATGACCATGGTTAAAATTCCACTTGTTAAAACCATTATCTGTAATTTATTCTTGATTAATATAATTCACTATCATACGGTTGGTGCTTTATTAGTTTGTTTTGATCTTTTATAAATAAATATCAATTATTAGTTTTTAATTAAATAAATTAGATATTTTAAATTATAAATATAAATAATTAAAAATTATTATATATTAGATATCAACTGTTTAAAAAAATATTACAGTTTGACATTTGGATTCAATGGCATTAAGTCACATTTAAGTGTATTGTTTTTTCCATAGAGTAATACTTCGAATCCAAACCTTGCAAAATTATTCCAAAAAAAAAAACTGTTTAAAAAAAAAATTAATCCAAACCGCTAAATATTGATAATGTTACTGTGGCCGAAGGCAGCGATTTGGCCGCCATGCCGGCAAAAGGCCTAGCGGACTTGGCAATGCCATGTCCGTTTGATTCCATGTTCCTTTCCGTGGCAATGCCAACAGAAGCCCTCAAGTTTATAGGATTATAATTTTTAAGCCCCCAAATTTAAAAGATATTATTTAAGTCTCTAAATCAAATAAAATTGTTTTAAATTAAAACATTAGGATTTAGAGTCTTTAGGGTTTAATGATTGTAATGTTAATGTTTATTAGTTAATGTGTTGGCATTTATATTATGTTTTAGTGTTTAAGATTTAAGGTATAAGGATTTAAATTTTTTACGATTTAATATTTAAAATGTTAGAGTTTAAGTTTTTTAGAATTTATTGTTTAAAGCATTAGAGATTTTTTTTCAATTCAACATTTAAATATTATGATTTAGAATTTTTTAAATTTAACATTTTAGGGTGTTAGAATTTATAATGTTTTGGATTAAATGTTTAGAGTGTTATAAGTGTTTAGATTATAGCAAAACACTCGCAAAGAATTGCTCTCATCCAAATCCAATCATGATCTATTCTCGGAGCTGCCTTATAGCTATCTCATTGAGATACAAGAATTTCTTGCTTTTTAAGGGAAAAAAATTAATCAACAAAACTGAAGAGGGATGGCTCTGGACCAGGTGTCGTCTTGGTTTAGTTCTCACAACCCAGAGAACAGCAAAGAAGGATGAACATGAAGGAATCACAAATAACAGAGATAAACTATTTTGACAACCAAAAGCAAAACTTCTTTAGTGCATTAGATTTGTTGTTTATGAGAATGAAGCTAATTTTTTCATGTTTTCCCATCAGTAGTTAACTTGTAATTATTTCATCTTAATTATTATGGCAAAACAACATGCATGCTTGGTATTAATTGCTCAGAAAATTACAGGAATGGCTCTACAAAGGAATCAGAATTCGAGTCCAATATTAAAGAATGCTCATATCCAATTAATCTTATATATTAAATTAGTTTACTTTCAAAGCGGCTGATTAGAGTTTAGAATCTCAGCAAAGCAATCGACTTTTGACATGAACTGAAAAAATAAGGTGAACCCAAGATGTTTAACTTGGAGTCTCATGTTTCTTTTAATTTTCTCAGTGTCATAAAAGAAGTTGATTTGAGAGATTGGCTTGGAAAGAAGTTGTGTAGTCGGACATTGTATGACTAAATGGAACCAAGACACAAATCCTTGGGAGTTATGGAAATTAGACAATTAAAAAAAAAAATTCTATGACTGGGATTGAAATCAACTTGTGTTTTAGTAAAGACAACTCTGGCATGGATAAGGCGAAGTAGTCAGATTTAGATTTACAAAAAAAATGGAGGACAGTAGTTTTGTTTACCACGATCAAACTCACCATTAATTCAAGAAATGAGTAACACTGACAAAATACTGTTAAAATCATCATATAAAATCCCTGCTTGTTTGCGAATTCAGGGAACCAATATCAGGAATTCTTATGTCTGCTTGTAATAAGCTCAATTAGTGTAATTCACAATCATTACATTTGAAAGCACTAGTTCTTAGTGTTTGACCTTGACTTGCTGGTATCCCACTGGGAGGATATTAATCACTTATTTTTTTCAAATTTAATTAAAGTAATCATATCTAATCTTTTATATTATCAACCATATGATCCATAATTCAAATTTTGGTAAAGAAACATGAAATACAAAATAATAATTGAGGGTTGCCACTGATTAGAAGAAATTAGCATTAGTAATATTTCAATGTAAATCATCATCTCTACTTCATGCTTGATTAATGTAATTCCCTATGATAGGTTAGAGTTTTAGGGGAATCAGATTGGAGTTGGTTGTCATGGAGAAAACACAAAAACTAATATTTCAATGTAAACAGTCATCTCTACTAGTAATATCTCTATGTAAATAATTAATCGGATTGGATTTCATATTCTTCATTCTTGATTGATGTATAATTTGTTATGATATATTAGTACAGTAGGACTAGGAGATCCATTTATAGCCACTAAGTAGGAGAAAATACAACTAGTAATATTTCAATGAAAATCATCATCTCTACTTCATGCTTGACTAATGCAATTCATTATGATATATATTATTAGTGCGGTAGGACTAGGACATCCACTAGTAGTTGTCTGCCAAAGTAGGAGAAATTTTGGTTCGCGGAAAATAACGTTTTCTTCTGGAAAATATTTTCCATGAAAAATGTTTTCTTTCTCACCTAGGATATGATAGATTGTTGTGATAGAAATATCCATTTGGAGTTGTCTCCCACCAACTAGGATATAAGAAAATGACCATTGCTAAAATTCCACTTATTAAAACCATCATCTGTAATTCATTCTTGATTAGTATAATTAATTGACTGTCATAAATTAGTGCTTTATTTGGAAATTAGGTAACCTGTACTAGATATTTTTAGTTAAATAAAAGTTTTGATTGAATAGCACTTCTATAAAAATTGTATCTAATCAACACTGTTACAAATGCTACAATTAGACCAAGTAAGCTGTGATTCTTCCAATGATATAATTTACATGTCAATTTATTTTAATGAGTGCGATTACTTGTTCTTTATTATTATTATTATTTTAATAAGTACATTTTTTCTTTTTTCTTTTTTAATAAATACATACAAATGTATTCATATTTAGCTTTTTGTTTGGTTGTTTCTTCACAAATAAAATATCTTTTTTGTTAGTTGTAATTTTTGAAACATTGGTAATTAGTTAAAGGAAAATAGTTGATACACACTTAATTCAATATATATTTTTATATTTATTTAGTTTAATTATTAAAATATAATATAAATATAGTGTGATTCAATTGATTTTTATATCCTATTTGCATAATTGTAAATTTAAGTTTATTTGTTTTTAATTTTAAATTAATAAATAATAATTTGTTAATAAATATATTATATAATGTATTAAATTAAAATATGGATCAATCATTCTCTTTAATTAAAAATCAAAAGAGAAACTCTATTTTTTTTTTTTTGAATATTGAAAATTTTGAGAGATGAGGAATATGTTTTTAAGTCCTTGGTGAGAATTGAACTCCCTAACCACCTAAACCTAAGCATTTAAGGTTTAGAAATGAACCGTTGTACCTGAAGGTTCGTTTCAAAAAAAAAAAAAACTGTACTTATTCTGGAGATATTGGACGAAACCAACTAACCATGAAATACTGGTTCATTAAAGAAAAAAAATCAATCAACAAATCTGGTTCCTTTCACTTTGAAAGATGAGGGATGTCTTTTCGGTAGGTTATAACCACCTATTAATAGGAAATTGTGTTTTTTTTTTTTTACAAAGTAATGATTAGGAAGTTAATAGAGTTAGTTGTTAACAATTGGGATTTCCCAGAATGATGAACATTCCACCTCTTCGGATGAGGCGCGCAACCATTAAGTCGCAAGTTGATGGAGTTCACGGTGGTGGCAAAACTCGAAATCTTTCCGCCTCACCCAAACCCTAAAGCTTGGGGGCCAACCATTATTAATGATTTAAATTTAAGTTTTTGAGACTCATGAAGTTTAAGCCCAAAATGTAGCTAGATAAGGAGGGCCTTTGGCCCGGGTAGTTTACCAGGCTTCGTCTTAATTTAGTTTTGGTTAAATACCGAACGTGGTCTCTCAACTTTTATTTTTAAACCAAATTTATCCTCAAACTTAAGAAAATGCTAAAAACATCCTCAAACTTCAATTTTTTTGACCACTTTAGTCCTTCCATCATTTATGTGTCTATGTGGCACGTTAAGTCTCAAAAAAAATCCCATTTTTTATTATGATTTAAGGGAAATAATTTTGTGATAATTTTTTATATTATTTTTTTATAATTTTACGTATCATTTAAATAATTAATTTTTTTAATTCATGTAAGATCGTATTAAATATATCTATTCATTTAATATATGTAAAAATTATATAAAAAGAATATAAAAAGGTTGTCCTAGATCATCACCCTAATTTAAATTGAATAGCTGATACGGAAACTAAACTTCAAAACTAATGCTGATTTAGAAAAAAATAAAGATTCCTGTAACATAAGAGACCTCCTTAAATTAGTAAAAAGATAAATTTTAAAAAATAAAAAGACAAATATACCCTAACTTTTTCTTCATCCTCTACTTTCTTCCTTCCCCATCTCACATCGTTGACTCAGATCCATTAAGGCACCAATCAGGCAACTTAACTGAATCGACTGGAGCTACAAAATGACGTCGTACAGAGCAGACGACGATTATGGTTACCTATTCAAGGTGGTGCTGATTGGTGATTCAGGTGTGGTCAAATCCAATTTGTTATCTCGATTTACCAAGGACGAGTTCAGTCTTGAATCCAAATCCACTATTGGAGTCAAATTCACCACCTAGAGCATCCGGGTTGATGATAAGATTGTCTAGGTTGATACTCCAATTTGCTCCTCCTTTTCTCCCATCTAGTAGCTTTGCTTGCCTAGGTTCATACTCCCAGATCTGGGTTCTCTGCCTCATAAGAACACATATTATTCAGGGATCCTCGACCGCCGTGATAGGAATTTTTGAGTTCTTCAATCTTAATCTAGGTTGTTTAGCTACGGTTCAAATCTGGGTTTTTGGTTTGTTTCCAATGTTTATGGATTTCTGGGTATTTTTGCTATATCAGAATCTAGGATTTTTTTTTTTTTTTTGTGGTAAGAGGGTTTGATTTGTGGAAAAATTATGTTTGTTGATGAGAATTTCCTCTAAGGAAAGTGTATGATTTTTGTTACTATCATGTTTTAGTTTTAGTACAAACCGAGAGAACTTTCGCCGGAGCCTTGCCGGAGATAAGGCATTTGCGTCAGAGAAGTTGAGTTGCAGGCAGTGGAGAAGTTGAGTTGCAGGCAGTGGAGAAGTAGAGTTGTAGGCGCTGATTGTTTTCCTTTTTATTTTTTATTAATTAAGCTTTTAATCGTTAGTTGTTTGTTTAGTGTAAGTCTAATTAGAGTTAAATATAATTAATAAATTGCTTTAATTTATGAAATTAGATGACATGGCCACGTAAGCAAGAAAAATGGTCACATGGCGGTTTAAGTTTCCAAGTAATTTTCACATAATATTCAGAATTTAGGGAAATAAATTTTTGAACGGAAAAGTTAATCACGTCATTACATAACTGACAGACGAACTTAAATTGCTCTCAAAAATTGAAATTTGAAGATTTTTTTAATACTTTTAAAAATTTAAGAACAAATATGATTCAAAAATAAAAATTGAGGGACTAAAATGGATATTTAACATTTAGTTTTCATGACAGAAATGGAGGATGATCATGCTCAGCAGAATACGAGATGACCACTAACAACTGTCAATTGAGGAACATTAAGGCAAATGACTAGATGTATTTCAACGTAAAATTCAAATTTGCCATCTTAAATTTAGAGCCTGAATCAACTTTCTAGACGGTTTCTCATTAATGATTAGTAATTATTGACAATCAAAGTAAAATTCCTTTAGGGCATCAGGTTCGCTGTTTACTAGCTACTGCCAATTGAGGAACATTAAGCAAGAACTTCGATACTACTACAAATTTGTTTCCCTCACTCAGTAAACGAACCATTTAAGCAAACAAACCAATCAAACAACCAAATTTTGTAAAGTAATCGCTTCCAACAAACTTAGATTGCTGTTTAAAAAAAAATTGACACAATTCTTTTATCAATTCAATTCCAAATAATTCGATGACATCCACCCAACAATCTGAGAACGAAAATACAGCAATGTAAAACAATGACTGGCAGATAGCAAAGACAATGAGTCAATAAAGAACGTAAATTTTCCATTAGACTAAACACTACAATTTACATCTTTCTTTATTCTACATAGCATTATTATCGATGTCCATCCATCTACAAGCATTTCATGGTATAGGTTTTTTTTTTTTTTTTTTT